GAAATTGGTCAAACTAAAGGGAAAAATTCACTACTTCAATTAAACGCCTTGTCAACTTTGTTTCCGACAAGCATCTTGATGCATCATTCCTGGTTTGTTGAGTGCGGATCAATTTCTTTGGCCCATATATAGATAGATTCGAAAATATTTCCCGCTGCATAACATCATATACTGTCTCAAATCTAAATACCACAATTAAAATACTGAATCAGCATAAAGATTCTAAGCACTATTAGCAAGTCACTTACATTTCCAAAGAAAAACAAATAAAAAAACAAAGATGTGAATAATAACAACAAGAGTATTCAAATGTAACCAGCAACAAGCAGTTACCTTCAGAAATTGTCAATCTGTTAATGGCCAAAGTAGACATCTTTAAGGGCACACACAGAGACTATCGAAACTAGGTGTCAAACAAAAGGCAGGGCAACAAGGACTGAAAAAGAATGGCAAGACTGGAACAAAAAGGGCAAAGAAAGTTCTTAAGCCCTTTTTAAGCGTAAGTTCTTAAGCTTCCACATCAAATACTGTATCAGTACCAAATAAAGTACTGCATCACCATACGGCCTCTAAGCACTATTAGAAAGTCACCTAGGGAGAGTAGTATTCAAATGTAACCAGGAAATCACCTTTAGAAATCTAGTTGATCGTTTCATGCCTAAAGCAGACATCTTTAAGGGCACACATGGAGACTATTGAAACTAGACATCAAATTGGAGGCAGGGCAACAAGGTCTGAAAATAAATGGCGTCAAATTCTTGCAGAAAAGAAATTCAAATTCTTCCATCTGAACACACTGGATTGGCCATTCCCTTGAAATTCAAGATCCACTTTGACAAGTTCAATTAACATATATAACATCTTAACCACGACCACTAAAGATGACCCAAAGGCAAGATAAAGGAGGAAGGTGTATTGTGCTCTTCCTACCTTTACAGGAGAATAAGCATCTTAAAATCCAAACTGCATTAACTCAAGCAGAACTATTAGCACAACTCCACAAACATATCTGAAGGCAAGCTGCATTCAGGGGCTACTATGGTCTGAGAAAATCCTTTAGTTCTTTCAAACAACATACACTTTAAGTAGAAATATGATGGACATAACCAATAATACAACATGAAATCAACATCAAGTAAAAATGGAAAAAACAAGAAAGGTACGAGAATGACCCAGCAAATCATATGAACTGTTAATACATGCCTCTCTATCTGATTCCATGGTCAACTGCTTCTTTTTTCCCAAATGTTATACAAGATATCTTGCTAATAGAACACTTCCACTTGATTTATCCTATGAATATGAATACACAGAAAACCAAGAAGCAAGAACTAAGCGAAAAGGAAAGGCTTCACAAATGTGCAGCATGTTTTTGTTGCAATTACTGTAACTAACGAAATTTCAAACATATAAAAGACTAGTAGAAGAAAGTACTAGATGCTAACAGTTGATCCTTGTTCAATGTCAACTGTTGTATGCACGGTATATGTATCCATTTGGTCCATATTGATATTTGAAAACTCATAACTGGTATGTGAGGAGGATACTCCTAGCAAGCACTCAGTTTCTTCATTGCCCTGCTGAGCCCAAAAGTTGTCACTGAGCTTTTTAAGCCTCACAAGCTCCACTGCGACTACCTTCATGGTTGGCCTTTTTAACCCACTACCGTTTAGGCATCTCTTAACAAGCTCAGCAACTGCTTCTACTTCCTCCATTTCACCATCATCTGCTGGCTCAAAATTAAGAACTTGGACGATCTGACTCTCTTCCACAGATGAAATGAATTATTGAATTATGTTTCTCTTCTCCCCATCCCTACTACGTGAAATAGGCTTTTCCCCTGTCAACAGCCCCACCAAGATTACCCCAAAACTATAAACATCACTCTTTGCTGTCAAATTGCCAGTCATTAGGTACTTTGGATCCAAGTACCCAAATGTCCCTTGTATTTTAGAGCCTATTCCAGTTTGGTTTGGTGAGATAAGTACTGAAGCCCCAAAATCAGATACTTCGGCTGTGTAATGATCACCCAACAGTATGTTCATGGACTTCACATCACCATGAATGATTGGTGGATCTGCTAAAGAATGCAAATAGTCAAGTGCAAGTGCAGTCTCAGCAGCAATCCTCAGACAATTCTTCCATGAACCAAAAATTTGTGATCTCTTGTCATGAATATGATGGTGGAGGGTTCCATTTGAAATGAATTCATACACTAGCAATGGGACTTTATTTTCCAAACACAGATCTAAGAGTTTCACAACATTCTTATGGTTAACCTGAGAAACAACGCCGATTTCGTGCTGAAATTCCTGGTTCATTCTTGCCTTGTCCACAGCTTAGGCCTTCTTAACAGCAACTAGGATGTTGTCTGCTAAAACTCCCTTGTAGACAGAACCGAAGCCTCCTTCTCCGAGGAACTGGCTATTGTCGTAGTTGTTGGTTGCCTTTACTAATTCCGTCTCGCTAAAAATCCTGATTCTTTGGTGCTTCAATATCATACCTCCATTATCTCTAAAATACTTCTCCTCCTTCCTCCTTTGATAGACAATGAAAATCAAGATGGTGATAATGATAACAAGAATGACCCCTCCAATCACTGCATGCATTTTAAAGGAACAGAATCAACCAACTTCTCAACATATATGGATGAGGCATCTTGGGGAATTTTGATAAGACTGGTTACCTATTGCAATGGTGGGCAGTCGGAGTACCCAGCAACCAACTTAACCGTCACCACGCATGCCAAGCGGGCAGTCGCATGTGTAATTCCCAAAGGTATTCCGACCAGTACCTTCTTGACATGGATTTTTCTGGTCTTTGCACTCATCAATATCTGGAATACATCCAATTAAAACAATCCATCGGACCATGCATGTAACTCAAACTCTCTATATTCAGAAAAACAGAATTTTATGTAATGAAGATTAATTGTATGTGGTACCTTGGCATCGTGTAGGAGATAGGGATTTCTGTGGTGAACCCCGGCAGGCAATAGCAACGAGATCCACCACCGGTCTCGGAGTAAGCACAGCTAGCATTAAGACCGCATGAATACCCCGTCTGACCTCCACTGCTTGGCAGTCCGCTCTCCGTCCGCTCTCCGACCACCCATTCAAGAACTACATGTGATAACGGTGACGGAGTTTTAGTTGGATAAGCTGGGAAATCTATTTTCGGGCTGTTGTAGGAATTTGCAACCACAAGAGCATAACTGTAGAGGTTGAAATTCAAAATATCACTGCGATTCGATACGCTGTCAGCCCGTATGTCCAAGGTTTTGATGTTCTTAAGGATGGAGGTCTGCCAGCATCCCTGACCGGAGCAAGAACCATCGTTTTCGATGTCTTTACGGTCATTGCAGAGAGCTATGCACCCACTTCCGAAACTTCCTTCCCTGTCGCTCATCAGGGCCAGGGTATTGCAGCCAAAAGCAGTCAACCTGTTGTGGGTGGAGGAGATGGTAAAAGGCCATCTATGGAGGTTGATATGCTGATTGAACCTTTTAAAGAAACCGCTCTAGTTGTAGCATTCGAAGGCAGAGGAAATGTTTACGGTGATGGTACCGCTCTCCAATGATATGTTGTAAATTTGGATGGTGGAAATAGTGAGGCGGCCGTTCTGCGTGCAATTAAGCAGGAAGGAAGAGTTCTTGGCACATTCAGGATTGCCAACTCCAAAAGGGTAAGGAACGCTAACGTTTCCACATGTTTCTGGGCAGTTTTCTTTGGCAATTGAACTTGCTCTGACGGCTGTGGAAAATGACAATACCAGCATCACCGTCATCCGTAGCACTGATCACATCTTCATTAATTTTCCGCAACAGCAAGTGAAAAGAACACGGTCTCAAAGTCTTGAATATTCTTCAGTTTTTGTTATGATATATAGCTGGGCAGAAAGCAATGTATGTATGCCAATCAGCAACATTGACTGAAAATTAAGTTGAATTAATCGTGAACTTGACTTATGGGCTGTAGCGTCCAGTTTTTCCGAGGAGACCAAGTAAGCTGAACCTGTACTTGATTTTTCTGGTACAAGAAATTTATAGCAGATATGATTTTGTACCACATTAACTCTCTGTAGATAATTTTAAAGGTATATTTTATATTATTTTATTATATTTAAAAAAATTAATTTTTTCAATACTAATCTTAAGGTTTAATTTTAAATTTAATTTATAAAATAATATTTATTTACTAATAAATTCCACTAACTTAAGAAGTTTATAAGGCATGTGAATGCAATTGCAGGCGGGCCGGATAAATTATTTCACAACATATAAAAATATAGGGCCGTTGTTTTATTTTTAATAGTATAAAATAATATAGAGATAAAATACACTATAATTTTAAAATTAATTAATTTAAAATTATAACAAACTTTATATATATCATTTAATTCACATATATAAAAATAATATAAAACAAACATTTTATAAAAATAATACGGGACAAATACCCTACAATAAAAAGCGAGGGCGCTACTTAAGATGATAATTTCATGAAATAACTCCTTGTTGTTGACTCTGAATTATCTGCAGCTTTTGTATTTTCTAAGAAGACTGAAGGAAGCAGAGCCGGTGTTTCTTTTTCCTATCATAAAACCCACAAACTACACATGCCACGGGAAAATTTTCTATTATAATACCCACGTGCTACAGGAAAA